TTGAAAGTGGAAGATTTTCTATTTCGATTTTAAAAATTTTCGAATTCGAATTGGTTTGATTATAGAACGATTGTAAACGTTCCAGAAAATTGATCAAATTGAAAATAGTTCGTTTGACTGGACGTAAAAATTCTCTAATTAGTCTGGAAACGGGGGACCTAATTTTTGCATTCTGTGAAAATGGGTAAGATTGGCTATAATGTAACTATCTTAATCTCTTCACTATCGTTACTTTTTGCCCACAAATAAAAACCCAGCAAAGTGGGTCCTTGCAGCTAGTATTATATAAAAGTTGTTATATAAAAAAATAACCACTTAACAAAACCAATAACTGGTATTAAATAATTGTAAAATGAACTGCAAACATTTTCGGTAGACTTTGATAATGCCAGACTCCTCATTACCACTATATTTACAGACCACCTCAAATGTTTGGAACAAATGGAGATCTGCAAGGCATACAACACTTCTGAACCTATTAACTCGAGGGATGAAATTACCCTATCCCTTGCATGGCAGGCCGTACTACAGAAAGAAGATACGCATTAATAATACGTTTCATGAATAGAGTTTAAACATCATACGAATATGTAAACCGAACATTTTTTATTTTTTTTATTTTTCATTGAATTTATTTACGGAATTTGGGAATGCACGTGATTCACATTAATGTTGAATTTTGACTTTTGAAATGTTGTTCGGAAGAATAATTTTTCGAATGTCACAATTTACTGGTCTTCGTTCATATTTATTCTAAAGACGAATCATTGCTTGAGAAAGGTCCTAGAAAAGGAACTGAAAACGTTTGCAGTTCATTTTACAATTATTTAATACCGGTTATTGGTTTTGTTAAGTGGTTATTTTTTTATATTTTTATATTAATCCGGTATTTGAAGATTCTTTATCAAAAGTTGTTACAATTTTCAAAACAATTAAAAAAAAAAAAAGATAGCTAAAGGTAGGATCAAATCTAAATTGACCAGGTGGCAAGCGAGTTTGCTATAGACTCAGCCATTTCGCTGTGCTGCCGTAGTGTAAAATTGACCACTATATGAGCTGCGTTTAAAACTTTAGAGCCCCTTTTCTCGGAATCTCCTGGCTAGTGCGCTTTACAATTATTCTGGGTGGACACCCTTGAGGTGTACTACTAACCTGCGAAGTTTCGTCCCGAACTGAATTTCCGAGACCATAAGGTCCCCTTGTGAGATGAAACTGTGAATCAAATATGGTATCTCACAGCATGACACAGGGTACAGAGCCAGTACACTGCTCTGTAGTACGAGGGCAGGCTGAAAAGTAATGCACACATGCTTATAGAACACAAACAAAAACAAATAGCAAGATCGGGCAAAAAGTACATTAAAGTACAATTCTTAAGCTTCAAAATCATATATTTATTTTTCAACATAGTCACCGTTAAGGCTAACACATTTCTCCCAACGTGTAACAAGTTTTTTCATTCCGTCAATGAAAAATTCTTCCGACTTTTCTCGAATCCAGGACTTGACAGCTGCCTTCACCTCATCGTCTGAGGTGTAATGATTACCCTTGAGGTCACTCTTAAGTAGAGGAAACAAATAAAAATCACAAGGCACAGGATTGGGGAAATAAAGAGGGTGTGGTATCAATTCAAACTTCAGGTTTCGCAGAGCCTCTCCAGTTGCGCGCGAGGTGTGTGGACAAGCGTTGTCATGTTGCAAGATTATTGGTGCCAGGCTGCCTTTAACATGTCAAACTCAACGTCAGAGGTGTTTTAGAGTCTGTATGTACTGAGAAGAATTAAACATTGCAACGAAGTGCAACGGTAATTGTCTGTGGCAGTGATTGGACTTCCACTGCGTGTTTCATCAACAATTATGGCTTTTCCAGGCTCACAACCATGAAATTTTATTATCCATCAATTTGCAATATACCTATCAATAGCATCGTCACCATAAACAGCCTTTAAACGTAATTTTTTCAGCAGTTAAAAATTTGATAACAGCATGCTGTTTAACTCACATTGACATAGCACCAGAACATGTCTCCATATTTCCGCTTCTGAAAATATACTGAATGAACGCAACAACCTCAAACTGCGCATGCACATAGAGGGGGAATGTTACTTCCATATGCCACCTGGCACGCTTCTGAAAATCATTTTGTTTGTGCTCTACAAGCATGTGTGCATTACTTTTCAGCCTGCCCTTGTATATGCTTCCATGTACTATTTACTTTAATGTCTCTGAACAAAGATGCACTACTGTGCTAATATCTTGCTATGCAGTCTGCCAATGTCATAAAGTACAGGCAGAGTAAAGAATAGAGTTTTTCAGGCTTTTCTAACTGACAAGTTACCAATATGTATGATTGTACAGTCTCCAGGCTTTTCTAACTGACAAGTTACCAATATGTATGATTGTACAGTGGAACCTCGGTATACGACTTTAATCTGTTCCTGATGTTTGGACTTATACCGAATAGGACATATACCAAACCAACCTTTCCCATAAGAAGTAATGTAAAAATGATTAATCTGTTCTCGTGTAAAAAAATGGCTGGCTTGATTCACCTCACTTTCCTGGCTAGTTCCTGCTTGATTTTTCATGAGATCAGCATGTGTCTTTTTAGCTTTCTCGCAAATAATTGCTTCTGATACGATGTCGCCAGCACACTGTTTTTCAGTTATCCAAAGCAAAAGCATTTTCTCAACATGATCTAATGTCTTCAATCTCTGTTTAGAAATTGATTTAACTCCTTTCGCAACATTAGCAGATTTAATGTCTTTATTTTTCATGATTGTCAATATCATCATTCTCGGAATACGGTATGCAACAGTTAAATCTCGAACACGCATACCACCTTCATATTTCTCAACAATCTCTTTTTTCAGTTCCATTGTGACTCTAGTCATTTTTTTTAGTTTTCTGTTGCTTTTCATTTGCCTTTTTGCAATTCGTGATTAATAAAAATAATAAAATTTTACTTAAAATTTAAAAACAGAAAAAATTTAACAAAGTTATAAACTGTGGCACCACGAACGTCTAGTCTGGTCTAGTACACTGATAGTGCTACTTGTTCATAGATGGTGCATATAATTGAATTAAGTCGTATACCGAGCAAAATTTGTTTCGTCCAAACAGGACGTATTCTAAAGCAGACATATAGACATATACCGAGGTACCACTGTATTTGCCATTTTGTAACGTAACAAAACAAGAGTATTGGGAGTTTATTCTACAGTTAATTGTTTCAAATTGATCAATTTTCTTCTCTGATATGTAGTTGTTATTATTTTTTGTCTTGTAATTATTTCTTATAATTGTTTTTTGAATAAATTAATGATAATTTATTGACAAAATTATCAAAATGTCAAAAAGTTAGGGAAGATATTGTTAGCTGTCAATTGCTATAATTGTAAAGTAAAAAATTAAAATGAAAGTATTTCAAATTTCCCTTTTGATACATAAGGAAAGTTTTAATTATTTTTATCATTGCTATATCTATAAATATATAAAAATGGACATGTATGTCCCTATATTTCACTTTTTCGCCAAAACTACACATCGCATGTGAATGGTGTTTGTATGTGGTAGTAACCCCAAGTCTCCATTCATGCATAGGGGTGGTTGCGACTCGATAGCTATAAGGGTGCGGGAGATATGAGGCCGAAAGTAGTTGAAAGTGGCTTTCTATTTCAAACGTTTTGTTCGAATTTGTTCGAATTTAATTTGAACATAAAATTCGAATATTAGTTCGATTATAGAACGATTATAAACGTTCCAGAAGCGTTGAAAATAGTTTGTTTGACTTGACGTGAACAGGAGACGTTCAGAAATAGAATCGGGACCATAGAAATAGAAAACGGGTAAGATTGGCTATAAAGTAATTATCTTAATCTTCACTATCATTACTTTTTGCCCAGCGAAGCAGGTCCCTACAGCTAGATTCTAGATTACTTAGAAAAACAGTCTTTTATATATATATAAAAACTATATTACATAGAAATAAAAACCCAGCGAAGCAGGTCCTTGCAGCTAGTTAAGATATAAATTAATAACTTAGAATTTTAATTAAACTATATCAAGAAGTGTTTAATAGATACAACTATATACTGTATTTACTAAAATATAAATTTTCGTCTATAATAACATATCTTCTATTACCAGGACTTATTATACTGGCACTACAGAAAATATTACAATGTTTTACAGAAAAACATTTTTCTGTAAAACATTTTCTGTAAAAACTTTCTTTAAAACATTTTCTGTAAAACTTTGTAATATTTTCTGTAGTGCCAGTATAATAAGTCCTGGTAATAGAAGATACGTTATTATGGACGAAAATTTATATTTTAGTAAGAAAAAGGACATTGAGGCATTTTAATTATATACTGTATTTACTCACATATAAGACAAGGTTTTATTCATTTTTCAATGCTTCAAAAACACAGGTCCTATAAGTGCAAGCAAAGGACTTTTTGTGTTTTTGCAATAATTTTTGTGAACCATGTATTCGCATTTTTTACCGGATGCTCACCCTCTGGTGTTTAAGAACATAAATATTTTATCTGGGTCATTTGAATCCTTCTTGTGTATTGTTAGGAGTAAAGATGAATAGCAATAGGAAAAGCAAAGCTTTTGAATTGAATTCCAAAATTACTCAGGAGCCCAATATAAGTTTTAATCCATTCCCAAGAGAAAACAGATATTCGGAAATCAGAATTCGGAGAAACTCATAAGTGTAATCAAGAGAGAGTGGATTCGACTGTTAAGAATTGGCAAAAAAAGTTTCCGATTGTCCAGCTTTACATGAACAAATTATGTTGTCAATTTTACAAGATTTTTCCTTAAAGTTTAAAATGCCAGTAATTTTTGCAGGACAATGTGTGCATTTACATGCATTTGATATTTTATTTGTGATTAAAGGAAATAAAATTTAGAATTGTATTAATAAATCTAATTTTCTTTATTTTGGTCTTTAAAGTCACATCTCATCCTATATGTGAGATCGTCTAATATGCGAGTAAATATGGTATTTTAAAATAAAATTGAATTTTTGGTTTATAAATAGAATACTTATAGTACTGATTTGANTTAAAATGCCAGTAATTTTTGCGGGACAATGGTGCATTTAAATTCATTTGATAATTTAATTGTGATTAAAGGAAATAAAATTTAGAATTGTATTAATAAATCTAATTTTCTTTATTTTGGTCTTTAAAGTCACATCTCATCCTATATGTGAGATCGTCTAATATGCGAGTAAATATGGTATTTTAAAATAAAATTGAATTTTTGGTTTATAAATAGAATACTTATAGTACTGATTTGATTACTAAAAATGAACTTTATAATATTTGTATTCAGGATCAAATAAATATTTGTATTTTATACTATTTTATTACTGTATTTTATTACTGTATATTATTATTTATATTTTTTGTATTATGTAAAAAGAATGCAAATACAGTAATAAAATAGTATAAAATACTATTCTGCATTCTTTTTACATAAAAATTAGTTTATACTTCAGTAAGATATTGTAATTTCAATAACAGACAATTCTTCTCATTTTTAAATTTTGAACTAGAAAGAAATTTCTGAATTTAAAAAATAGTTTAACAAAAGTTTTTAAATTGATATCTTGCACAAATAGTTTTTAAATAGCATATGTAAAAAATGGTTTAGTAATGGGAAAAGAGATTTACTAAAACATGACTGCATTTACCTGTAAAAAATACGGCAAATTTTGAACAAAATGCTCATAAAGAAAAAGTATATAGATATCTTAAACTCCATATATAGATATCCATATATAGATATCTAAAACTTGTTGTGATGCCAATCTCTTTATGCCTAAAGATTTTCTTTTAGAATATTTCATTAAACTCAGAATTTACTATTACTTGAAGTACTCTAACAAAGAAACTAAACATAATATTTTTTAATGTAAATAATATAAATGAATTGCTTTAAAATTGTTTATAATGAGTTTTGTATAAATAAAACTGTGTATATATCTATAATGATTAAATTTAAATAAATTACAAAATTGAGTAAAAGTTTCTTAGTTGCTGTATTCAATGCAAAAAACTGTTTTGCAATATCCCATTCTTATGTTTTGCAAGTGATCAATAAATTTTAATATCCTGTATGATATCATACTAAAATAGTAAAAAAAAAAAAAAAACAACCAGATGGCTAAGTGGTTAAGGTACACCCTACCACTCTAAGGACCCAGAATCAAATCCAAATGGGTGAAAAAAACAAAAAATTTTTGGGGTGGTATTTATTGATATAATGGAAAAGAATATAATGTAACCACATTATATTCTTTTCCATTATATTAGGCCAAAATTAGTCTTAAGATTAAAATTGTTTGGTTGATTAAAGAAGCTAATGTTTCAAAGATAAATATCTTTGGACTAGAAGGCAGAAGAAAAGGGAAGCCAAATTGATGTGATGAAAGAAATTATTCTGCAAGTGTTGATGACTGGCCCATCCTTCACCAACCAACAACTCTGAAAATTTCTATTCTTTAGCTCTTTGAGAAATCTTACAGACAAAAAATACAAAAGCTATTTTCTTTAGTTTTTACTTATTTGAAAATTCTTTCAAACAAGTAAAAAAGAGAAAATAAAATATGCTTAAAAGATAATATTAAACTTCCAAACTAATAATTAAGTAAATAACGATCTTGTTTCCTTAACTAATCAAACAATGCTTACAAAATACAAGGAAATTTGCTTATTTTTCAACTGATTGTTTGTTTCTAAATTTGAGAAGGAAAAGCTTTTTGCTTGAAGGAAAATTCAATTTTATAAAATTATCAAACCTATATTTACATAATGTCACAAAACATATAGTTTACTTTTCCTGGAGTGGATGACTGACGAAATTATTAATTATTTGGAAAATTTTTGCTTGATTTAACTTTTTATATAATTTTCAGAATTAATTTACAAACTTATAAATAATAATAACAAGAATCTAACAATTCTTGTTATTATTATTTATAAGTTTGTAAAAACTTAGAGAGGGTGTTTTTATGCCCATTGTTGGTTCAATCATGCTCACAATAGTATTAGCAGCATATTACAAGACCTAATATATTAAAAAAATTTTCATTACAGTCAAACCACCCATGAAAATTTGAAGTCCCAATCTGGATTTGATCCTGTGAAAACTAAAAGTTCCTTTTCATGACTATCAAGGGTTTGCCAAGCCTGTAATGGATATCTGAGTGGTGAGTAGTAGAATTAAACATATGCAAACTTCCAAGAATATCAAACCACTAGTGGAAACTAGAGTGGTAGGTGAAACCTTTATCAACTTGGCCTTACTATATATTTTATAGTTTCATACATAAGCATTTATCCCTATATTAGATAATTCCTGAATTTTACTTGAGAATAAATGTAATATACAAAATAAATAAAAAATTTAATATCTTTCAATTATTGTAAGTTGAAATAGAAAATATTGAAACAGAAAAAATTATCAATAGAAACTATTAATAATTTTTTTCTATTTCAAATGTTCATTTTACATTTTTCCTTATTTTAATGCAAACATTTACCTTTCTTTGCATGTTGTTTAATTTCCTCATCAGCCATTCGTATAACCTCAGGCCACACTAGATTATTTAACTTTCTTCTAAGATTCTAAAAACAAAAATGTTTGTTAATTTTAATTCAATTTAATTAACACATTTTAGGATACAACAACTTGCCTCATTTCCAAATACTTTTGCACCCAGTGATTTACGATTTATAAAACCATCCGAATTGACTATGTCCTTTCCAAATTCTTCAACTATCTGATTATATAATTTTGACTTAGGTTCATAACTCTTGTGGCTGAGACGATCACAATCGACTACTGCAGCTCCCAACTGCTGTAAGTGCTTCACAATTGCAGATTTTCCACTGGCTATTCCTCCTGTGACACCAATTATATATGGAGAATTAAGCAGATGAGGTTTTGGCTGTCAAAATAAATCCTTGTACAACTTCTGTTAAATTTCATTTTATTTAATAAAATACTTTATTCAAATCTAGACTTGTACTTACCTTTGGATACTGTATTAATGTTCCAAGTGATCTCATACGAAGTGATGATGAACTAATTTTGAGTTCCTCAAAAGCATTCCTTTCTGGATCACTTAAAACAGGAATTTTATATATTTGCAACTCTGGCATATTCTGTTTTTTAAGTAAAATATATAAATTTTTTTTTATTTTATACATTATTATATAATAAAAATTANATATTATGACTTCAATATCTGTGGTGGAAAGATGTGAAGTCCAATAAAATGACTTAAACTTGATTTTAATTTTTCCATATATTATTTTGATAAACGACATATAATCGAGAATGACGTAACTCGAGGTATACCTGTATCAGATTACTGACAGTGAATAATCCTAAAGCTGCCTAAAGCAATGAGCGATATTATTTGTATCTGTTCAGTACAAATTATTTTTGGAAATAATATAATACAACATACTGGGAGTTATAATACAACATACTGACATGCAATAATATACAAAGAAATGTATAAATTACTTAACATTTAAGTATTAATGATAGCATTAATATAGCTTGATATAATCTGGCAATCATTTGGTTATAAACTAATAATTAGGTTTTCAGATGTTTACATTTGTATAAAGAAATGAAACCAGAGTAAACAGAAAAACCAAGACCATGCTATTTATTCTAATATTTTATATGTGAAATAGTGAATAATTGTCATGTACTGAATTAAATTCCTCATCTCTACTGTTGGTTCATTAACAATAGAGATGACAAACAATACAAATATAAGGTTCACCAAAAGAAATAGATTAGTTATACAGAATATCAAAAATCAAATATTTAAATACTGAAATTTTTTCAGGTTATAATTTGAACAAATTTAAATCTGACACTTGGATACAATACCAAATGGTTTCCAGAAAACCATCTATTTTTGAAATTGTGCAGCAATTTATTTTGTTTTCCTGTGTATATTGTATATTTGCACATTGCCAGTTCTAGTGTGACTGCTAGCATACAGTTTGTTAAAAAGTTTCATTCTTTACTTTCCATTATTTATTTTATTTTTTAAGTACAGTAGAGCATCGGTTAACCGAAAGCTTTCCAGTCAGCAAATTTAAATTTCTGCTAGTGCTATGGCGCTGCAATCTTTCGCTATGTCTTGGGCTACTCCAATATTATTTTTGTTGGTGTGCGTGTTTTAGCTAGCAGAACTGGTACGACCATGGGAGGGTACTTAAGGATGTGCCAGTATTTGAACGAATTTCAATATGAGATAGGTTAATATATTTTTTCATACATAATCGGTTATCCAAAAAAACTATTTTCCGAACAATCCCAGTCCCCAATTGATTCGGATAATCGATGCTCTACTGTATATACTTAGCTTGAGTCCAGAAAACTTGAAAATACAGAAATCCAGACTTATTGTAAAAAAGAGAAGGCACTGAGGTCGGCGTTATGTGTGCGTTTTTTTATCGCTAGTACTTTTGACGAACTTATAGCCGTCGTCATCAGGCGAATTATCGAAAAAATTAAACGGAAATAATCCGATTTGGAATAGAATGCTTAAATTTAAGATGAAACTTTAGTAAAAGTCGTTAGGAACACGATAGAAATATTTTTGAATATTTCTATCGTGTTCCTAACGACTTTTACTAAAGTTTCATCTTAAATTTAAGCATTCTATTCCAAATCGGATTATTTCCGTTTAATTTTTTCGATAATTCGCCTGATGACGACGGCTATAAGTTCGTCGAAAGTACTAGCGATAAAAAAACGCACACATAACGCCGACCTCAGTGCCTTCTCTTTTTTACAATATAGTATTTTGGCATGATCGTCAGCAAATTGATCAGAAATCCAGACCTCTTCTAGTCCCAAGCTTGCCAGATATTTAATCTAGTACTGTTTTTAATTTTTGAAACTTAGGGCTAATTTATACAGCATGATTCACTCAGGACTGAATACTTTTTTTGATACCTCTTGACTGAACAGTCACACTTGAATAACATATAATGTAAAACATACCTTAATTGACTGCTTTCTCATGAAATAAAAAATTGTTTCACTCACATTTCATGCTCATCTTTTAATTTTAAGTAGAGATATTCCATATAAATTCAGAAAGCCTACTGATGTTCCAATTAAGACTATCAAACAGTAAATCCAACTTTGGCTTATAACAAAGTCTGTTTTAATCAGGAGACAAAGTTCAGTTGACAAAAGAAATTTATTCACTATGATTTCAGGATTTAAACAGGAGTATATTGTGTATATATAAAACTGGAGTGTTCCACCTAAAGTGGGTGTGTTTAAACCTGATTAAAAGAGACTCTGTTATAAGACAAACTTTGGTTTAACATTTGATAGTCTTAAGTGAACACCAATAAGTTTTCTGCATTTATATGATATAAAGTCTGCCATAATGATTTAGTTTCTAAATAGCTGTCTAGATATATTCCCCTAATAAATGCTAATTAGTCCTAAGTGAACCATCCTGTACATGTATTGCAAAAATAATACATGAGAAATACAGTAGACTTTCACTAATCTGGTCATTCTTTGCACAGATGGATGCCAGATTTATGAAACTACAGGTATACCTCGCCTTACATCGATAATTGGTTCCAGGAGAGGCTACTTAAGTCAAAAAACAACATAAGTCGAATTTACTTGTCACTAGGCAAAACCACAAATACTATTCCCAGTTCTGTATTTTATTGATAAATGCATTTTAATAATATATGGCTAATAAGAATCTATTTTAAGCTTACAAACAAATAAATTTTAGTTTTTAATATACAGAGTGTCCACAAAGTCTGGGTACATAAGGATTAACCTTACAAAATCACCTTATTTTATAATGTCTTAGAGCAAACCACATTCACAAATAAAGAGTCTGCGATGTACTGTAAACATTGCCAAATTGTAAACATGTACACTTAAAGTATGTACTGTACGTACATGAATTCGTAAATTTAGATTACTTTTTTCTGTACTACAGGATATCCACAAAGTCTGGGTACATAAGGATTAACACATATTTNTTTTCCATGGTAGCTCCAATATCTACCGTTTGGTATTGTTGTCAGCGCCACTCAATATTGGTAAATTTAATATAAATTAGTTTAATTTCTACTGTCGCAAGATAATTTTAATAACTGTTTTTGTTATTTAACACACTTTTAAAACAAAATAATTTTATTTGATTCTAATATTAATAAATAACATTTTCAATATGATTTCCATCATTTTCAATACATAATTTGATGTGCCTTGCAAAATTCAGGTGAACGCGATTAAATAGGTCTGTATTGCTATCGATTTCAGCACACTGACTGGTAATGGTGTCTACAAATTATGGCGCATCAAATTATGTATTGAAAATGATGGAAATCATATTGAAAATGTTATTTATTAATATTAGAATCAAATAAAATTATTTTGTTTTAAAAGTGTGTTAAATAACAAAAACAGTTATTAAAATTATCTTGCGACAGTAGAAATTAAACTAATTTATATTAAATTTACCAATATTGAGTGGCGCTGACAACAATACCAAACGGTAGATATTGGAGCTACCATGGAAAACACCAATATTGAGCACTTAAAGACCGCTAAATAAGACGACAACACAGAAACACAGATGTTTTCATGTTTCATTCTCTAGAATTTATGATGATTATATTAACATTTACTGTAAATGTACATATTTTAATATGATTTTATGTGCTTTAATGCTTTTCTAGTAATATTATGACTTCAATATCTATGGTGGAAAGATGTGAAGTCCAATAAAATGACTTAAACTTGATTTTAATTTTTCCATATATTATTTTGATAAACGACATATAATCGAGAATGACGTAACTCGAGGTATACCTGTATCAGATTACTGACAGTGAATAATCCTAAAGCTGCCTAAAGCAATGAGCGATATTATTTGTATCTGTTCAGTACAAATTATTTTTGGAAATAATATAATACAACATACTGGGAGTTATAATACAACATACTGACATGCAATAATATACAAAGAAATGTATAAATTACTTAACATTTAAGTATTAATGATAGCATTAATATAGCTTGATATAATCTGGCAATCATTTGGTTATAAACTAATAATTAGGTTTTCAGATGTTTACATTTGTATAAAGAAATGAAACCAGAGTAAACAGAAAAACCAAGATGTATGACATGACTAACAAATTTCATGGTTTTGTAAGTGCATAGGCAATCACATATTAACCTAAGTCAATTGAAAATCTCAACTTTCAACAATTCTTGTAAACGGGCTGTCCATTAACTATTTCTACAGTTTTGTTCCACTTTTCACTTCTTCCTTTTGTCACATACAATGATACTTTAGGCAAACCCTCATCTTTATTTATATATACAACATTTCAGAGACCTGCTTGACATTGACAAATTACTTTAAAAGTTCTGCAAATTCTTTCTAACTGATAGTTAATTCATATGACCAGCAAGTGGGCTTATAAAAACAAATTTATATGCTGCTAATCACAAACCTTCTAATCCGAATACTGGTATTTTGCATAAAATCACTACTAATACCAATAAAAATGTCCAATGCCTTGACCTCCTCCCCATTGTGTACAATGATGTACTTTTTGTGATCCCCTCCCTCATTCTTATTAATGAGAAACCTCTAATATTTTAACAAAATGATTTATTTTGTAGTTTTTTTTTAATTACTTATTTTACTAGATTAGGAATGTGGTGTAAACATGATTTTACATTTTTTATATGTAAAAACATGTTTACACCCCATTCCCAACTCAAATCATGTTAATAATTAGCATTTTTTGTAACTCAGAGAATTTATTTATTTTAATTTATCCAGAGAACTTATTTACATTTTCTAAAATGTAAATAAGTTCCTAAATAAGCTGCAGATAGTACATTTAAGTGTTAGCTTTAAATTCTCAATTCAGTAAATTTTTCATCTATATGTATAATTTTAAATAATTCAGACAAATTATTTCTTTTGTAAAATTAAACATATATTTACAAATTTATACGAATAACTAGAAATGATTTAATTTAAAAGTAATAATAACAAAATTACTCTTTAACATGGCTCCATCAGTAACTCCGACCACCAGTTGCCGTTTTGTACGAAGAACAGCGGCACTTAAAAATATTTTGTGTCCGTTATGAAGATGATCAAAAGTGCCTCCCAGCACGGTCTTTCCATACATCTCGACGGGTCCCTCGTCATTAAAATACTTGGAATATTCATCCGCGGAGGTAGAATTGGAATCGTTAACGTTCAAGTGGCGTATAATGGAACACTCAGTAGAGAAACTCTGTTTAAAATAACTGCTAACATCTTCTGTCTTTACAAGGTTGTCTATAAGAATGATATCCAGTTTAGTAGATACATTCTCAACAGGATTTGTTGTTTTGGCAAATGTCTGTAGCACTCTGACATCTAAATGTGAACATGCTTTTGAAGCTTGAGCATAAATTGTAGGAATTAAATTGAGTAATAATTGATATTCTGATGCAGGCGAAATAGGTATTTTAGTTTGATTACGAAACTGATTAAAATTAGGCTCGATTTTGATATATAATCTGTTGCTTATAAGCTGCTTAGCTGACGCTAAATAGGTACTTACTTTGTTTATAATGTGATGAGCTGGGGAAGTTAATATCAAAACACCTGTCTGAAACATTTTGGCGTTAGGAGGAAAATGTTTAATGTTAAGATAATATAAAGGAAACAAATCTTCCTTAAGTAAATATCCTTTCCAAGTAAAATGAACTCTGCCAAATCATGTTGTTATGTAAACAGATAAGATAACTTTTATCTAATAATGATGATAATAAATATTTGGTTTATTTTTACGAAAAATAAGCTTAATTAACGAAACTTGCTCGATGAACCTCGAGATACGAGATGAAGGCAGCCATTTTGAAAATGATTACTCTTCTATCTCAAAAATAAAAAATGGAAAACGTATATTTTGAAAATAGTTAAAATTATATTAATTGACTATGTAATTAGTTTATTATTTTTAAAATACGCGACGAAGAAACCATTTTGTTTTTTCTTTCTGCCCCGAAAACGGTAAAGGCCAGTTCCCACAATCGTGCCATATTTTCGCAGAAAAGAAATCTATGCTGTTCATATATAGACTTGAAAATCGGCATCATAATTTTTTGATAGTACCGTTATCTCATAATTCTGTCCGAATCTCAACCAAATTTGATACACTTACCGTTCCGAATATGCGGTTTCGATTTTCGAAAAATACATTTACCTGTTACAATGAAATTTGGCGCTGTATGTTAGACACTACACGCAATAACTTAAATCCAGCTTTAGGGCAGCTAGATCGAGAACATTGCCTCGATAAACGAGGCTCATTAAGCAGCCCCATAACCAAAAGTCACGGAGATTCAGATCAGGCAATCGTTGGAAATAATCGGCTTTTTCTGTCTCAATTCTGAACTCTTATCAAGCCAATCGTGGAGTTGTTTTAACTCCTTCGCCCTGTGGGCACTAAGAGGGCTTGTTTTAGCAAGCCCTATTACAAATGTTATCTTGCGTAAGGGTTAATAGCACCGAGTGACCAATCTAACATTTTAAAAATTTCCTTTCTCTACTGTACACAATTTAAAGAATTTTCAAAATGTGTTAGATTGAGTACACAGTGTGATAAACCCTAACATAAGATAACATTTGCAGTTATGTAAATCAAATACTATAATAAAATATAATAGAAGGGTTAGAAGTACGAAATAATCTAATAATCTTCATCTTGAGCCTGGCGTTGCCCGGGGGATCATGTTAGTTGAGGCGGAGCCTTAGTGAAGCCAGTTAGCTTCTATGTGGCTTACAGAATTGTGTTCGTTCTCAAAATCTGTTCGATCGATTTTGATTAAACCTTGCCATTTTACATTAATTTGGATGAGAAATCCAAAATGTAATAATAATAATAATAATAATACAGTAATACCTCGACTTACGCTACCCGACTTACGCGAACTCGGAGTTACGCGATTTTCAAATATCGCCGATTCGTCTTTTGTTTGAGCGGCACGCAACTCTTGATTACTCACTTTCCCCACACTATTGTTCAGCTTACATGTTCGGACGTATCACGCGGAATCGACACATAGCTACAATTTATGTTGTGTTATTTATTTCTGTATTTGTTATATCTATGGAGACTTGAAAGACTCTATGTGGTGATTTCTTGTAACCATGAACGAATCAAAAGACGAGATAAGACTAACGAGAACATTTATTAGTTTACATACATCCGACTTAGATTTTACACAAATTGCAAAATTATACCCCGACTTACGCGGTTATCGCTCGGTTCCACCTATCGCGTAAGTTCGGGGTATTACTGTAATAATAATGGGAATCCGTCACTCAGTTTTCGAGATATAGCACGGGCGCGCGCGACAAAACGATATCGCACGAATCGCGCGACTTTGTCGTGCGATGTTCCACGGTCGCTAGTACCGTATGGGCTTATGGAATTGAGTTCGTTATTTTATGGGCTTAAAGAATTGAGTTAGTTCTCAAAATTTAATAGGCCGATTTTGATAAAACTTTGCCATTTTCCATTAATTGCGATGAGAAATCGAAAAATGTTGTGAGTCCATTTAAATGTAAAAAATAGGAGTCCATGACTTCGTTTTTGATATACAGAAGTATTAAAGTGACAATGATTGTGCTGTCTGAAGTGACTGAGCACGCCTAACGGAATTTAGGCCTAGGAGTCAAAAATAAAAACAGCATTGTGAGCGTCTAATTAAAGTGGCTAGCAGATGAACTCTTCTGATGGAGCATACCTCTTCTGTGTCTAACAAGTGCAGGAATCGCTTCTTTCTTTCCGGCTTTCCACCTCAATTCTATCGGAATACGACAAAGTCGCGCGTTGTCCTAGTTATCAATAATTGAATATAACACCGTATATACAGATAATATATATATTGTTCATTCATTATGTCTGAACTTATATTTTTATCATTCTTCGCACATTTCAATAGTTCTACATCATTCTATACGTTTTCAGAAAATTGTACGGAACTGCTTTTAAAAGTGATGCTTATAAACAATTCTGTTTTGTTCAATGAAATCCAATGCCGATTACAGCGCTTCCCGCCGTGGGTAAAAATAGAAGTTTGTAGCAAAATGAAACTTTTCATTATTGGAAGAAATTATTAGTCTATTGTCAACAAAATCCTATTTGCGTTCAGAAATTAATTGAATGTTCTTGTGTCTCTTTTTAAATGTTCCAAATGACTTAATTTTTTAACATAAATGGTCTTTTGTCAGAGTTTCTCTAATTCTTCCCCCGTCTTCGGACGTCAAACAAAATTTGACTGTTCTTAAACCTTTATCATCTTATGAATGATAGATACCATAAGTAGAAACGAAACATACAAGAAATTTTGAAGTAAATGTAATAAAATGTATAAAATGTAATGAAATAAATGGACATCCACTGAAGCTCAACCACTCTCCTTGTCCAACTTTGTCCGAATAGTCGTAACCCCCTCCCTCACTTCCAGTGTGGTCATCATTTATGGACAGTCCCTTTTATGTAGGACGTAGGACATCTATTGTAATTGTAGGACAAGTGGCAACTTTAATTATTAATTTTATGAAATATATTTATTATATATATTAGTTACAATTTATCAAGTACAGTATCTCAAAATCCTCTGTCAATAAAAGTGCAATAAAGAAATAACGTTCTCATTCTACTAAAAAGGAAACATAAGTTACTAAGTGCAATTCTTCCACAACTATGAAAAGGCCAAACAATGTAATGTAATCAATGTAATGTAATCTTCAGCACTTACAAGTTAGACAAAGTTCTCAATCAAATGCAGATCATACGCAATTGACAATGTATGTTAATATAATTTAATAATTTCTTAATAAATGTAACACTCATTTATGAAATATATCAATATATTAGTTTGTGTGCTATTACGTTTTTTATACTTACCCCAAATTTTTTCAATTACTCGCAGTTGATATGAATTATTTCTTTCTTCGTGTACAGTAAATGAAATGTACTATTCACATTTTACCTATTAAAATGTAAAATATGTATTACTATTTTACGACTTTCATGAAAATTAAATTTCATGTAAGATGAGCTTGTAAACTACTCATATAATTATTTTAAAAATCTATTTTATACGACTGTGAGTGTTTAAAAAAACGAAAAGTTATTATAGTCCCTTGTCCCAGGCTCGTAGGTCCTGATCTAATGGGAAATCCGCCACTGAATTCAGGAATTGTCAAAACGTCGAAAAATGCAAAGAAGGAGGATCAAAATTTGACCGATCACGATACTTTCCTTATGCTGTATTCTAAAACAATCGAGAAAGTAATTAAATAATTTTTATTTAAATTTTGAGTTATAGACTACAATAAAGTATTTTTAAAAGTAGTTTTAAACTACATAGAGAGTACACTACTCATACAGCTGAATATCCCATTCTTTATATAGATTTTTAAATAGCACAGTTTTCTTCATCCTGGAATACATTTGCAACGTTGACCAACAAAAACATAAGAACAGCGCCAACAGCAGCTCCTATTTGTGTCACAGCTCCATACCAAAACAGTGCATTGTTTCCTCCGTTTCTCATCAGAAGAGCGATCATAGTCTTCACATATGAAAATATACCAATAAACAACACCCAACTACACACCTAAAAACATAAATATTTTAAATTATCTTCGTTAATGGTCTATAATTCAATTAATTAATATATTTACAATTATTATAGAGCCCGAGTTGGTATTCACTAGAGGAGGCAGCGGACTCATTATGGCTGTCGTCAGCAAATAAATAGATATAACAGTGGATATAGCCGACAATATGGAGATTTTCGTAATGCTTTTTGTTTCCACAAATAAAGCCAAAAGACACGATAAAGGGTAAGCCAATCCAGAAAGCGTCACCGAAAGATGATATTCTTGGGTCCCGTATGGAAGACAAGAATATGGCTACAAAATACAGTTTTCTTACGTTTTATACTATAATTTGTATAAAATTGCAGTAAAATTCTTATAAAATTGAAAGCATATTGTACAGGGTAAGCAAAAGTCTGGAAACATCTATTTATCTCGAACAATTTTATCAAAATTTTCCTCTATGTTCCAAGATAATCGGGTAGGAGCTCTACTTTTTGATGAGGGCGCTGTTTGTATCCGCCATCTTAAATGCAACTCACAATTTTCAAATTGATCATGTTATATATCAGTTTACCCTAAAATTCACACAGAAAGACAATGAAAGCACCAGTTTTGTCTCAACTTTAGCATGTAAACACTTTGTGGATACTTTGCATGTGAATAGCTAGTAAACTAATAAAATTGGCGCAAAACTGGTGCTTTCATTGTCATTCTGTGTAAATTTTAGGCTTTAATTGATATATGACATAACCCTTTTCTTATTTGAAAATTGTGAGCTGCATTCAAGACGACGACCCTGAACACCATCCTCATCAAAAATAAAGGTTTCCGCTCAATTATTATCTCGGCATCTAGGAAGTCAATTTTATCAACATTGTTCTAGATATAAGGGTGTTTCCATACTTGCCATATTATATTTCTTATTACATAAATACCTGAATTGCTGGAAAGATACCAAACGTTGTCAATGAAGCAAGAGCTTCTAAAAATAATAAATATATATACAAGCTTTTAGAGATTGAACATTCTTCGTGTTTAATTGTGTTGACTTTCTGAGATCTTAGTTCTTCGGCCTCATCGAGCTCGAAATTTTCTTTGAAATCGTCGCACGTTTTCAATTCCGTTTTTGATAAAATCTACAAAAGCTTGTAAAACTCTTAAAATTTTGATTTCAGAAATATATAATAATTAGGAAACAATATAAATTTACCATTTTGCTCTTGCAGACAGGTAAATAGTTTAGTAAACAGAAGGAAATCCAACTTAGCATCACCATGGCAAGTAAAATTGCAAAAAATACTTCGGGTGGAAATCGTGGTTCTTCTATGAAAAGTTTCGGCTCGATAATTGTTTGATTATTACGTACTGAGGTGACGTTAATGCACTTTAGTTCTTCTACGTCTTGGATCAATGCTACTATACTCGGCAGAAATCCACTGATACCTTCTCCAATTAAGTAGGGTGTCATATAAATGGACGGAAACCGTGCCATGTAAGGAACAAAGACTATAGAAGATGCACAATCAACGATAGCTAATCCAAACGATAGGATAAACAGAGATATACTGTGATTATATACAGTCATATGCCAAAAAGGGATGAGCAAGATGCACGATAGAGCCCCTATGAGCATTTGTGCATGCGTTCCTGTAACTTCGTTGAAATAACGTGGCCAATATTTCTTTCCAATTCCATAAATGATACAAGAAACGTTGGCAAATTGTAACACTAAAGCTAGACGCGAAGCCAAACTCCAACCTTCTGGTAATTTTGGTGTTAGTACGGGAAGTTCTACCCATAATCCGGTCATGGCAATCCACGATCCGATACCATAAAAAAGAGATAGCGTATCGATTAAGTAGCTTCGGTTTAAATCGTACGATAAGAATCGTTTACCCATAATTGAAAGAATTTACAAAAAATTTATTTTACGTTACTTTAAATTCACCACGTAATTTTTTACTCTAAGAGAACTTCAGCACCAAGAGGAAGCTGTAAATAAACAAATAATAACAAAGTATGAAATGTTGAGGTAAATACAGGAAATCTAATTAAATATTAGCCTATGCGATAAATCGAATTTATAATTAAAATATGCGTATCAAATTTTAATTTTAAGGCATTTCAAATAAACCAGTGCCATATCAACGACTAACTATTTCATATCGTAACCTACCAATTGATGTCCTAAAGTTATAACTAGAGCCAAAAGTTTTCGCCAGTTTTTGGGCCTAAAATCGCCAAAAAAAATCGCCAGTTATTTATTTCAAAAACGAGTTAAAACGAATTACACTTATATATTTCAAGTAATCCTCGCTTAAACTATGACATTGATCGCTCAATATCGATGAATATAATGAGAACCAACGCTCAATGTCGACTGCAACTAAAGAAGCGTATTCGCTATTAACTTTATCACTTAAATTCATATCAAAAGACGTAAATTTGATAAGATCAGGATTGCTTGACAAAACTTTTTCTAATTTTTTAGAAAATATAAGATAACCAGAAACAATTTCTTTTGCATTTTCAATTAATTTGGCTTGTTTAGCTACACCAAGTCCTTGCTCTTCCAGTGATGATATAATATTTGATAGCTTGACAAGATTATGGAGATCAAATAATTCTTCCTTGAAGTTAACTTTTTTCTCTTGCAATAGTTTCACCAAAACATTTCTAGCATTTGAATGAGATTTTTGTTTATAGTTCAAAATGAAGCGCTCAACAGTATCAAAATTATCGACATAGTATTTTGCAGCGTTTAACCAAGACCCCCAGCGAGTGGTAATTGGTTCTGGAGGAAGATTACTAACTCCAGCTGCATTCTTAAAATAATTTTGTCTTTTTCTTGACTTCACAAAAAACGTCTTCATTTCTAATATAAGCGAATTTGTTCATTTGTACTCATTCTGAACCCTAAATGCAACGTTATGTAAGGCGTGAGCGAGACATGTGACGTGATGTACATTTGGAAAAATCAATGAATTTTTCTTAATCTCACTTACTGCCTTCATCATGTATTTTGCTCGATCTGCCACTATTAACTTCAGTTTTGAATATTTTAAATCATTTGGCCACACTTTTCTAGACACGTTGAGTATACATTCTTGTATTATAATGTTGTCAACTGTTGAGTGAAATGTCACATTAATTAACATTGATTTTGCTTTCTCGCCATTCAATTTTCCTACAAGCACGTTGACCACTTTACGTTGCACTTTGTCACTAGTTTCGTCAACAATGAATAGACATCATGTCCACTAATTTCATCCTTAATTTTTTCTGTTATTGAGTTGAAAATAGTTTTTTATGTGAGGCTCCGGACATAGCCCCCCAAAACGAAAGATATAAAAAAATTAAGTTCAATCGTCAAGAAAGCAAATTATATAAGTGTCGAATCGGCGACACCGAACTTTGACGTCGACGCTCATACAGAATAACGGGAAAAACCAAATTTTAGATATAAAAAGAAGAAAATTTAAAATATTAAAAGTTAAGACGCAGTTTGGAAAGTAAAACGAAACTAGAAAAAATATCAAAATGAGCGTAGGTGTCGTAGTCAACAATTAAACGCGATCAGAGTCAAAAAGATGGTGTCCGATAAACCATCTCCAGCCGACCTTTCTCGCGAAGTTTACGAAGCTCCATTTACACCTGGAGACAAGTGGAAGACAAATTAGAAGACGATGATGTAAGGCCTGTCCAATTAGCAAAAAGCCAAAAAGCCAACATCGAAAAAAGGATAAAAGCACCAATTCCAAGGACAACGAAGCTTCCACTAATACTTCCACTAGACTTATGTTGTGTTCGTGTATCTCCGTTTTTTTTTTTGTGCATCCTTTCATCTTTTGTGCATCGACTTTCGAGACTTCGAACTTTTTGCTCAACACTGTCCAGGGGCCCCTACGATGCTGGACCAGATCGCCGCCGAAAATCCCTACGACGCAAGCGGATCGCCGTCGAAAATTTCTACAACACAGGACCAGATCGCATCTATCTAAGAACCTTCCCAACGGAAAAATTTATGTAAGCAATTTCGTCCAGAATAAATGGTTTGCCTCTGTAAAACACTTGTCTTTTGCTGCCTATAAAAACCGCCACCCACATACGCGTAGATAACCTTAGACCATCCCGACGGTAGGGAATAAAATTCCCCCCAATCGGCGTTCTTACATTTATAAGCCCGCAGTGCTAAAAAAAAATAAATAACGCAATGAGACTTCAAATAACATTACATTTCAGCTAAATTATGAGCACAGTCGCGAACAGCAGCATCAATTTCAATAAAATAAACGTTTCATTAAAAAACTAATTACGATAAAAAAAATACCTGAAACACTTTTGATCGGCTTCTTCATATATTTTTCGAGAAACAATCTCAGTTTTTTGTTATTTAATTTTTCAAGCGAAATATCTGCACTGGTGAGTGCTTCAACCATTTCTTTATCAAAATCGCTTCCATTTTCAAACAACAGTGTTTGTGACTGTAGCGTGTTATGTTTCTTGTGTTTTGCACTGTTGAGATGTTCCGAAAGTCGTTTCTTAATTGTTTCACGTCCATAGTTGACGAGTGTAAAGCACTCAACACAGAGAATTGTTTTTTTGGTACGGCGAAATATATTGCCACCTAATTCCTTAATCACGGAATCAATTTTAAACTCAATTGGCTGTTTTCTAGACATTTTTGCACAAAGCACATGGGAAACTGTCGATTTCGCCACCTATCGCCAAATTCGCCAGTTAAGGTGAAAATCGCTGATTTTTGCCAAAAAAACTTAGTGATATTGAGACTAGATTTTCAAATTAGTACTAATTGAAAGATGTTCATTCCAGGCTGAGAAATTCGCCAAAAGCGAACATTTTCGGCTCTAGTTATAACATATTTCTCTTGGTAATGAAAAAGAATTGTAAACTTTTTTTTAATATTTGGAACTTAACCCTAATTTTTGTATTAGTCCTTCGTTTCGTGTAGCAGGGATTCGCACTAGGGTTTCTCATTTCTCGGTCCTTTGCTTGTCCCGAGATTCCGGAATAAAAGTGAACTGTTTCCTGGGATAGAATTAATTATTTTTATGATATATTACCTTCGAATTTCGTAGAAATTTTCACAAATAGAAAAAATTTATTAAAGTTTGCTGGAAACTGCATACAACAACAAAAACAAAATGCTTTGAATTGAGTTGAAATTTTAAAAAAATGAACTTAGATCAAACTTCTAACTTAAAAGATAATTTTTGTTTTTTAAATAAAACATAATACAAAATATTATGTAAATTTTCATAACAAGATTTTAAAAAGCAAAGACGGTCAATACTCCAATCAGTCGATCTGGTTCTTATTTAACTAATGAAAAGTCCTGCTACCAAGAATGCCCTTTCCGATTCAATTTATGTGAGTGGAATCGTCTTTAATGCATTTACGAGAGACGGATGTTTTGTTTTTTTAACCTGTAGCCTGGAAGATTTCTAGTTCGTTTTCAAGATTGTAGTACTTTGTGAACTTAAGACTACGTGTTCTGTTGCATAACCGGCTCGTAACCAGCCCCTTGGATGGGCCACAGGGTAAAGAAGGGATGGGCATTCTCGACGACAAAAATAAATCCCGGATCAAGGAGGGAGAGAGGGAGATCGCACATGCTCAATAGAAGAAGCAGGACTTTTTTGGAAGAAAGAAAGAGAGAGAAGACGTGTAGACGAGAGAGTCGCGAGTTTGTTTCTTTTTGTGTGTTGTTTTAGTGTCTATAGTATTATAATAAAAGGAGAGAGAAGTGATCAGAAAGACTAAAATACACTTTCTTTAAGTTCCTTGCATTGAAGTCATATAGTATGTGTGATTTATTTCTTTGAAGTTTCCTTTTGTTTTGTTCCTGCACGGGAATACTCGATCGAGTACTTCCCTACAACTTCTTTTGCTCTCTAGTATTTTTGATCTGTCTACCTCGGCTGCCTTAATAGAAACATCAAGCTTATAGCTCGATAATTCGGCAGTTCGTTCGTCTTTAATAATCAGGTTTATGAAGAAAAACTTCATACGTGCAGACTTCGTACTCGTTTGTATTCTTGCCCAATTTGCATAACCTGGCGTTACGCAGTTATTGAAGCTACCGGGCATAGTTAAAAATTAAGATAGCATAAGCACAATTATTCCAGATATTACAGGTTCTGAGAAGTAAAGAATTTTCAGAGTCCTGCCACAAATAAGCTACGTATTGATTATTGACCATTTGTGACTTGCCATAACGAGCAAAAATTTAAAAAAACTAATAAGTAGGTTTAAAATTAATAGAGAGGTTGAGGCCGAAGTTTTAAACGCGGAAACGTGTACGTCGGACGTTCAGCGCCGCTTTCCTGTAAGCCTAGAAGTTTGACAATAGTGTTTGGAATGTTGAGCATGATTCCACTGACTATCCAAACACCATTGTCAAACTACTAGGCTTACAGGAAAGCGGCGATGAACGTCCGACGTACACGTTTTCGCGTTTAAAACTTCGGCCTCAACCTCGCTAATAAATACAAATGTATTCTGACAGTTTATGAGTTAATTGTACTTTCTATTTGCAAAACTTCCTCAACATTAATACAAAATAAGAAAAAAGGTGAATTTTTAAGAAATTTGCGGGATTTCCCGGGATGAGAAGAATTTCCCGGGTTAAAAAAACAACCAGAATCCCGTTTGAGAAACCGTAATTCGCACAACACGGCACTTTTACGCAACGTAACTATCGTGTTATACTAGGGATACCTGTACTTAAATATGGGAAAATGGCGCACAACTTCGTCAGAAAGTAGAGATACCAAACAGAAACCGCCTATTTATACTGTTTTTAAAATCAAAATTAGTCAACTGTTTTTTCTAACCAATCACAGCAAAAAATTTAAAATTTTATAAGGTGTAATTTTCAAATTTATTTTCGAAATTGTTTATAGTTAAAATTTGCAGTCAAATCAAAATCAAATTCTATTTTCAAACAATAAATGGGCGAGAAACCAAGAATATCAGTTATAAATCGTTTAACTGTTGATACTGGAATCAAATTAAAATTTAAATGCAGTTTAATTTATAGACTTCTATATAACCTAAATCTTATGATTCGAACTCTTATTCATATCCCATCTCTTCGCATATCTACAAAGTGAACATGTATTTGCATATATATTAGTTATATTACGTCACAACTAAATACGAATCCATTTTTCGTTTAATTAATTGATATTTAATTAATTGAATAGTCGTATAAATTATATTATCAGTTAACTATATTTATATTTCTCACATACTTACCCTACAAGCGTATTTCTATCTGTAGATTCAGAAAGTCACATTAAGTCAATAGAATCTAGTGGTGTACTGTACAGTAGAGCCAGACCTCGACGTAAAGTAAATAAGAGAAATTTTACTCGATTAATGTCAGATTCTTATCAGAACTTGTTAAATAGCAATGTTTTCCAATTTTAAATATCTATGAATATTAAAAAGTAATACATCATGTAACTTCAAAATATCGCTAGTCATGTAATAATGTATAAGTAGGTATCTGGCATATATGTTTACTGTATTATATAAGCTAAAAAAATTACCTACTAAGAAATATAATAATATTTTACACTTGTAAAAATATCATTTGTCAATAGAATCATTTAAACATGAACTTGTCCATAACGGAAAGCCTCCATAAATGGAAAAATATTCAATACCGCGCAATTCCGATTTTCACGGGTTTTTCTGTAAATATAGACTACTAAATTTTTTGTTTAGTTTGAAACAAAGACAATTTCAAACAAAAAATTTTAGTATATTTACAGTAAAACCTGTGTAAATTGGAATCACATATTACACATATTTTTCTATTTGTGGAGGCTTTCCGTTTTATTCGGGTTACGTTTTGGATAGGATTTACTGTACAAATAAACAGTGTGGATAAACAAAAGTAGTGTAAATATACTTTAAATATACTGTATATACTGAGTAATAAAGCTCATTGTGCACCTATCTTGTTTCGTTTGTATCAATAATACCTGTAATGTACAGAGAATTTCTCCATGGGTGGTCTGTCCCGGATGCAACTTTACGCTTTCAACATGCATTTAATGAAAACTGTCTCAAGCAGCATGCATGAGACGATTTTCATTAAATGATGTTCCGTTAAATTCGCTGTTGAGGGATAATTTATTATAAACTTTTACTAGATCTTATTAGGGAAAGTATGGTAAGCGATCAAATTTTGACCCCACCCAAATTTTTAGTTTTATTTTAGTTTAATTAAGTGAAAAACAGTAATAAATATATTAATTCATTAATTTATTTATTTATTACTATTGATATATTTTGCATTTCTCACCGTTTGATACTTCACGAGCCCAATGTTAAATAAAAAAAACCATTACAAAATTTCTATATTATTAAGTATTATAAGAAATCAAAAGGCTTAATTTTTAGATGGAGACGACTTTTGAAAAAGTTATGAATGCCAATAACGAGTCAAATTTTCATTCAGTCCGACTCCATTCAAGATACCTTGTATATCACACAACCCCATCTATCTTCCCACCTCCTCGATCTTTAATCACCAAAATTTAATAGCACATATATATATATATATATATATATATATATATAACTCATATACAGTTATCTCAAGTATAATATGGTAAAAGTGCCGTGTTATGCGAATCTGTGCTATACGAAACAAAGGACTAGTACAAAACATAGGGTTGGGTTCCAGAATTTAGCAAAAGTATGCTATACTTTTTCGCAATTAAGAGAATTGTGTTTATTAAAGCAATCAATAATTACCTAACAATCACAACCAAAAATATTGCACGTTAAAGTTTCTTCTCACTGCTAAACACCGTTAAAAACAAGAACGTTTTTTTTTTTTTTGGCAAAATGTCGTCATATGATCTTTCCTGTTGACCTTAACCTGAAGTATCGGCAACATCTCTATTTTTCTCTATTCCTTTTATAAAATCTGATATTTTCATTTGTTCTAGTTTTCCTAAGAGATCTATACTGGTAAATGCAGGTTTAAGAGAAAATTTAGTACTAGGATAAAATTCGAAAAATATCGAATTATCTTTTTGTGTGCAATAATTAATTAGTAAATTAAATTCGTAAGAGTATTTAAAAATTTAAAATTACAATTACAATAAATTTAACGATAGGCTTTATCACTTTTATTTTGGTAGATTACATTAAAAATTCGCTAAAATTACTCACTTTAATAAGACTTAATTCCAGTTGATTGATGATGTACGATGTTCTTTCTATTAATATATTGCATCAAACTTGTTCAATTGCTAACGTGTCTAATGAATATTCACAAGAGAATCGAGTTTCTGCCAAATTTTATATTCTAATTTTTTCGCAATGATTAAAAATGTTTGCTCGTACGTATACAATTTCCACCTTAAGATTAAATTACAAGGTTTAAATACGTTTTTAATTTATTATAAATTATTTAATGAATTAACAACGTTAAAGACAAATCAACTATTCTAAGTGTTTTGTTGGCTTTTAATGGATTTCTGTACTTTAAAATTATAATATTTTTATAATTTTCAGTGTTATATAAAAAGTTATCAACATAATCATTGTGACCATTCGTAAAGGAAAATGAACATACAATAATCATTTTCCTACTGCTGCATTGTAGTTTAGAAAGGCTTTCTGCTCGAGCTAAACATGGATGCCGCAATCTACTCTTTGAACAAGGGAATAACTTATAGATTGCGTTAATCACGAGGATTTCTTTGTTTTTCTCAATTTGTTTTTCATCAGATTATGATGAAAATATTAAATATATTTACAGAAAATACAAATTTGGAGATCGATTTTCAGAGTGGATTCAATCATCCCTCCGTCCCTTTATATATTCTATCCATAGCATCTTATGGATAAGATGTAGATAAGTTTGCATTTAAAGTGACTTGTACATTTAAGCCTCCCCTTAAAGCAGACAATTTATATTGAATGACAGTTTTTAATACAAACAGATGTCGATTTGTCGTTACTAATTGTTTGCTTCTGAAATTGCTATTAGATCGAGTATATTGTTAAATCGAAGTACCGCAATGTTCAATAAAACTGCATCATCTTAAGAAAACTGGTATTTGCTTGGATTTTCAGACTCATTATATTTATGAGTTGCAACTAAACAGGTATGTTAGGTGAGCTAACTTTAAGAATTGTTGTATCATCCTTCTGAAAAGATATAAAATATGGAGCAGGTATTTTTGCATTCGATGGTTTGTTTAGTATGATGAAGTACTGTACGTACAGTGAATTTAACCCAGAAAAAAGTATGAGGCTGTTGTTTTTAGTAAAGAAAAGTTTTCTACACTTGAAATAGCTTCTCGTGTGTAGTATAATTAGTCAATAATGTGTAGTTTGCTATCTAAGCTCTCCTAAACAGCCTCTACAGTCTATTCCGCCCCAAGACGGAATTTTAAAGCATTTGTAACGTAAACCAATATCCTTCATTCATAGACCTGAAAACTGACTGAAAACAGCATACTGAAGTAAAAATTAGTTCAGTAACTGTGAGGAGGATATTATTTAGAGCAGGACTTAGCCATCATCCCAGAAAGAAGCCCATTCTCACGAAGAAAATAAAAATTAATTTGATTAATGGAATTCGATTGCCTTAATAGTCATGAAAAATAGGATATTTTAGTATCTGAAGAATTTAAAATAAAGCTTAAGAATAGTTTTAAATTACCGAGTCAATAAAAATCTAGAAAAAGTACAAATTCCTAAATATTAATTTGTAACAGAGAAAAAATGGTGTTTTATATATAGGCCTATATATAAGTTATAAATATAATTAACATTTGTCTTCATATTTTACTATTTTTTATTGTTTTCTAATTCATTTTTACTTATGTAATATCTAAATTATCAGATATTAAATTACTTTTCGAACGTACCTTTCAAAATAATGTAAATTCATGTAGTTCATAACATGAAAACAAATTGATTTCCCATGGATGAGGAAGTGGAAGTAAGATTTTGATTTGAAAAATAAATGACTATTTTTAAATGTGTGATAAACGTTTTGATATCATTTTTATTTAAACAACATTTATCAGAGATTAAGATAAAATATAATTCAAATTGATTATTTACCTATCAGATAAACACAGATTAGTTTATTATTATTATTTTGCTATGTATCATGCAAGTCAAATTTCATCCATGCATAATTAAGATGAAAGACTGAAACTTTGAGGACATACCTAAATCCGATAACAATGCATTTTAATGATGTTTTGGGATGGTCCCATCCTCACCATTATTCCCTAATCCAAAATCTCCATTCCCCATTCCAATTTAAAACCCTCATCGTTTCCACCCCAAATGTAGAATTTAATCATGATGTGTCTCTGTGTGTAAATGCACTGTAGTGATGTATATGATAGGGGTCTCATCCTCAGCATTTCCCTTCCCCAATCTCAAAGAATATGACCAATAAAAGCCTATTTTAATTTTTTAAAGTATATTAAAGTTATTGTGATAATTATGACTAATATTCTTTCATTAAAAAGAATGTTTCTTAAGAAAATATGCTAATTTACATCAGAAATGTGATTTTTTTGTTGTTGTTGTTCGATTATAGCATGAACTAAAAATTTTAAAGTTTTTCTGAGAAAATGCTTTTTTTTATTAAAGAGATAAAAAGTCCACTTTGACTATTAATGAAAGCTTTTACATACAGTATACATATATATAAATACATACATGTACAGTACATACGTACCGTGGTTTCTTGCTATTAGCGAGGCTGAGACCGAAGTTTTAAACGCGAAAACGTGTACGTCGGACGTTCAGCGCCGCTTTCCTGTAAGCCTAGAAGTTTGACAATTGTGTTTGGATAGTCAGTGGAATCATGCTCGACATTCCAAATATCATTGTCAAACTTCTAGGCTTACAGGAAAGCGGCGCTGAACGTCCGACACGTTTTCGCGTTTAAAACTTCAGCCTCAACCTCGCTATTGACTCAAGTTAAAATATTGTTTCCTTCACTTCATCTTGAGAAAAAGAGGCAGAAAGTTGTTAGGTTGAGGAGGAATTATCAGAGAGAGGCTGACTTAATTTTGAAGGAAGTTAAATACGAGGAATATCGGTTGGAATATAGTGATTATAGAAAGGAGATTTGTCAAGCTAAGAAACAAAGTTGGAGGAATTATGTAGAGGCTCAGTCCAATAGGGACACATGGGGAGTCCCATATAAGATAGTTCGGGAGAAGATTGCTATGCGTGACATGTTGTATACGGTGAGGTTGGGATCTGATTATACGGTAGATTGGAGGGCTTCAGTTCAGGAACTTTTTAGTTCTTTGTTTCCAGATGATTTAGTTGAGGGTGATTCTGAGGAACAACGGGAGATTCGTTTACAAAATATGAAATAGGAAGTGAATGATTTTTCTCCGCCCTTTACTATGGAGGAGTTAGGGCAGTTAGTTACTAGGTTAAAAGGCAGAAAATCTCCAGGTTTTGATAATGTTACATATACTGTAGTTAAACAGGCTTTTTCCTGTATAGCAAAGACCTTTAGCGACTCTATAATTATTGTTTATTTTTTGGTGTATTTCCTGATAGATGGAAAATTGCTCGAGTGGTTATACTACTCAAAGATAAAGATAGGGAAAAATCAGATTCTAAGTCGTATCGGCCAATTTGTCTTCTGTCTATATTGGGAAAGATATATGAACAATTTTTGAAGTTAAGGCTTCAATTAGTTTTTAGAAACTATATAGATATCTGGCAATTTGGTTTTCGTCAGAATAGGTCCACTACTAAGGCTCTCCGTCAGTTATGGGAATGGACTAGAGAATCCTCATGTAAGTGTGATGGGCATTTTTATAGATATATCAGGTGCATTTGATAACATTTGGTGGCCTGCCGTGTTGCGAGCTCTCAGGGAGAATAATTGCCCAGTGGATATTTATCGTGTTATGAATAATTATTTTTCAAAAAGGGTGGTTAGGTATGTTTATGGGTCGGAGTTTATAGAAAAAGTTGTTAGTAAGGGATATCCTCAGGGCTCGGTGTTGGGCCCTGAGATTTGGAACATAGTGTTCAACTCTGTCTTGATTAGGCTCCGTAGACATGGCTTTCGTTTCATAGCTTATGCAGTTGATCTTGTGGTGTTGGTGGAAGGTAATAGTCGTGCGGTATTGGAAGACGTTGGTTCGAGAGTTCTAGGGTTGCTCATGTATTGGTTAGCAGAAATTAAGTTGCAAATCGCACCTTCAAAGACGGTGATTTTGCTTTTGAGGGGTGTCCTCAGCCCGGATCGCCCCCCCCCAGTGTGCGAGCGGGCAATGTTAAGATTAGGATGGTGGACTCATACCGTTACCTGGGAATAAAGCTAGGTGCGGGATTGAGCATTACCAATCACATAGATTATATTTCTAAGAAATCTGTTGCTCAGCGAGGAAGACTTCAGGGGCTGTGCGGCTCGATGTGGGGGCTGCGGCTTCCCGCATTGAGGTGTGAGGGACGAACAGACCAACAATAAAGTGTTATTTTAAATTTTAAGTATTGGAAACTTTAATCGGTTAAATTCGAACGTTTTAGCGAGTTAGGCTAAAGGCCATAAAAATTATTTCCCACGGGGTTTGTTCCTTGTTGAGTCGGATCAAGTTAGTCAGGGATGTGTCACCAGGAACTTTGAATGGAAAAGACATATTGGACGGGCGACCGTTAAAGGCCATCACCTGACCTCATGGAAAAAACCCAAGAGGAATGAAAAAGGAAAAAAGAAAAACCGACCCCGAAGTCAGTCGTCATCCGAAGTCCCTCTACAAAAGTCGTCATC